ATATTTATTGAGTTTGATTTGAGATAATTAGATTTATTTAGTTATCTCAATTGATGATTAGCAAATATGATTAATTAATTTTAATTAATATTAAGTTAATTTATTTTGATTAATTAATTTTAATTTTCAATTAACTTTAATCTTGGTCAAAGTCAAAGTTATCTTTTATTTTATCTCAATTTCATCCACAAGTTTTTATGATTAAGCAATTTAGTTCTAAAGTTTCAAATCTTTTCAAATCAGACCTTCATGTTTTCGAATTTAATCAAATTAGTCCCTTTAATTTTATTTGTGTTTATGATGCATGCTTGTCTTTGATTTTGTCCATTTTAGTCTAAAAATTTTAAAAATGTTTCAATTTGGCTTATCTTTCTTTCAAATTTACCTATTAAGACTCAAACATAAACATAATGAATAAGTTGATTAAAAACCCCCCAAATGTTAAAGAATGCAACCGTGTTTAAACGGAGGATTGTGAGATGCGCATATGCCCTTCCTCACTCCAAACCGAACCCCCAAACCTCAACCTCTGCACAGACCTAGATCCCAACCCTCTATGGGGGTTGGATCCTTCATCAGTAACATTGACAATGCTGTCTCCATTGGCAGAATGTTGTTTTCGTCGTTGATAAGAAAAATGTCCCACTCCCTGCACAGTTTCCCGAAGGATCTTGGATCCATTGCCCAAACTTCCGGTGGCGGAGGATGACACAGATTGTAGGTTCTTCGCATCTTTTGAAGAAGGATCAAGACAAACAGGAGCTAAACTCTCTTTCTTGTTATGTACCCCCTTAGGCCTTACCGACATCTTATCTTTGTCCACAACATTATCCTAACAAAATCTAGGAAAATCCTGCACAGTCACAAAATCCAAATTAGTGTTAGGCAAAGCAACTCTATTGGAACTAACCTGGTTACTAGCAATAAAAGGCCCGTTTTCTTTTAAGTGGGCCTCTGGTCCAGTAGTAACAAAAGATCCGTTACAAGTAACGGTAGGATCATTAATTGTATTGTCCTTTGAAAGATTGGCTTCCCCATGATTCTGTTTTAACTCGTCCCTTGACCCAGTGAGTAGGCTACTCGAGTTCCTTCCATGGGAGGTGCTCGGCTTACTGTGTTGATTGGATGAATCAGAGAATTTTCCATTGGGTTTCCTCCTATTCTTCTTCCTTTCAACTAACATCCAAGGGCCAAACCCTTGCTGCTCCTTTGAGTCCAAGTTTGGTTCAATATTACTATGCAAGATCTCTGGAGGGGCAAAGGAGTCTTCCTCCATATTCGTAGGAATTTGAGACAACTTTAGAGGACAAAATCCTTCCTTGTGACCCACACACCCACAAGAAAAACACAGAGCAACAGGACCCTCATATAATACTTTTTGAATATGCTTGCCAATCCTAACAAAAGGAACAAGAGGTTCATCCAAATCAACTTGTATACTGATCCTAGCAAATTGCCCTCTGGTTTGATGGGCAGTGTGGGCATCTATGCGCAAAGGCTTCCCCAGAAGTCTTCCAATCCTCTCTAAGATTTTCACATCGTAGTATTCAATTGGGAGTCTGGGCAATCTGGCCCATATAGCTGTGGTGGTGAATGCCGCATTTTCTGGATTAAAAGATGGTTCCCATTGCCGAATAGTGAGGTAATAAGGCCCTACAAACCATGGCCCCCCATTTAGGACCTTGAGTAAATCATCCCTTTCCTGAAACCTTATAAGAAAGAAATCAACACCTAGATCAATACAATCCATCCTTCCTCTTGGCTTCCACTGGGCTTTGATTCTCGGGTAGATAAAGTTGTAACCTGCAGATTTTGTTCCAAAGGCCTTTATGATTATAGAATTAATCCATGGGGAACGAATCCTTTTCTTTTCCTCTTTAGAAATCAGGATTGTAAGAATTGTTCCATCATCCTCGCAATCGGAGTCCTCCTCCAGGAGGTCGAGATTTACAGAGGTATCACAGCAGATTTCGATTGGTTCATCACGAATCACCAAATCTCTATATGATAGCTGCTGTGGAGGATTCTCGATCAGTTGATATTCCTCAGAGATTGGAGGGTAATCGCTGCCTTTGATCCGTTTGATAGATCGATTCAAGAGATCGTTCTCTTGGGATGATGCGCGAGGATTGTGAGTGGTGGACATGGTAGTTATTTTTTCTGCTTAGCTCAATTGGTTGAAAGTCCTCACTCCCTTTCTCACTAATTAGTTAACCTCCCCTTGGTGTATTCTCTTCTCTAATCCTCCCCAAATCTTCTCTTTCCTCCTCCACCCACTACTTTGTCTCTGAAAACAATGATGGCAATCATAACCCACCTCTCCAAGAAACTTGCCTCCACTAGATCCCATGTTCCTTTTAACCCTCAATTTCCAAAAACTGTTTTTTCATTGATGGGTTCTGCGATTTGAGAACACTAGATGCAAGGGGATTTTGGAATTACTGATAAATTAATGGATGATTAAAGCAACAAAAAGAATATGTAATTCCTTACAAGGTTGTGGAAATTTGGAATGGAGGAAGAAACACGTAAATTATCATATAAGGGAGTTAAGATAATTAAAAACGCCACATTTCCAAAGAAAATTACTCTGTTCAAAGGAAAAAAAAAAAAAACAAAAAGGGCATTGGCCAGGAAACGAAAATTGGGTCGTCATTGACATTCCTTTCCTTGCATTTCAACATTTCCGTCACATCTTAAAAAAAAAAAATGAAAATCCAACGTTTTTAGGCTTACATTACATTACCGAAGGCCAAAAACTTTCAACTCAAGGTCAAAATGAAGAGAGGTAGAGAGACAAAAGAGAATTTATGGATATGAGTTAAGGAGAAAAAGCAACTTTCAGGAAGCACAATGAATCATTCTGTAGAAATAATGAGAGGAAAATTTGAGAAGGATTTGAGAAGTAACTGAAAGGGAAGACGGGAGAAAGGCCATAGAAATTCTCCATTAAACTGCACTGAGATGTTTTTTATGGAAAAAATGAGTTGGCCTACTTTAGTGAGGTGTCAACGTTTGATTGGGTTGAGATACCATGTCAGCTGGTATACCGGTGATACCCTTGAACTTCTCGTACGGACCCAACCATGAATCACGGACACGCGTCCTGCACTCGGAGCCGCATCATCCAAATTAACAAGTAACAACAAACAAGACCACCAGTAGATTTATCTGATTCTCCCTAAAATAATTAGTACTCCGTATAATCTTTTGTGAAATTAAGTTAAATAGCCTAGGCTTTGTCTAATATAGTTATATAGTTTTAAATTTCTTATTTTAATTTTTATAAATTTTGTAATTTTAAATAAAAAGTCTTGTTTATTTTTATATATTTTTATGATATTATAAAAAAAATTTAAAAGAATTTTAATATTATTAAACATATATATTGTTAATTTGTTATTAGTATTAAAATTTGTGTCTTTTGAGGGACAAATAGTAGTTAAAAGTTTAAATTTCTATAATGAAGATTTTAAATTTGAATTATAGGGTAGATGAAGAGAGGTTTAAGAATGTAATAATTAACTTTTATTATATAACTTATCATACGATATACCAAAAAAAATGATGGCTGTATGTTTCATATATTTTTATGATATATTATTATGGTTATAAAAATAATTTTTAAAAAGAGTTTTAATTTTATTAAACATATCTATATTTTTAATTTGTTATTAGTATTAAAAAAAGTGTTAAAATTTGTCTTAAACAAATTGTTAATTTTTTATTTTTAGTTTTAATTTTTTAATAATTACAAAATTTTTGAGAAAAACTAAAAATTTAAAGCCACCGTACTATATGGAAAATTAACTAATTGGTTGATAAAAGATTTGCTTTTAGTCTAATTGATGAGGGATTTGCTCATTTTCTTATTCATCCAAATGTCAATAAGCAGTCATTTTTCATGAATTTAATAATTCTAGTGTATATAAGTTGTTTTCAACTAAATTAAGAGAGAAAATTTAATAAGATGCACAAAAGCTGATCGGATGCTATCATGCCAAAATCTATATATAAATTGAATACAATATGGAATTCTAAAAAATTTGCATGCAATTATGACGACCTACTAAGTTCTAAAGTATTACGTGTGAATTACTATAATTGTTGCTTCTGGGTATTAAACAAAAGCCTCCTATTATTCAAAAGTTGTTGGAACTCTTGAACATTCCCCCACCAAAAATTTAACGACATTTGTTTTTTTTTTCTTCCTTATTTGGGGGGCGGGGGGGTGGGTGTCAACTTTGAAGAAGTTGATGACTACTGTATAGACAGACAAGGTAAGCCCATGCACAAGCAAACCCTAGATTTTGCGACAGCTATTACCTCAGCTGGCGTCTGTTATGTAAGCATGTACATAAGAAAATGCTAGTGGTTTTCCAAACCAAGATCTAAATGCGCAGCCACTGAACTTGAAAAGGAGAATCATAATCTCTCTTACAACATATATGAATTTGCATGCGTCGTTCTGCTATATGATTCGAACATAATTGGTGAGTCTTGCTGAGCACGTAGACAATGAGATGTCTCTGGACACGAAACATGTTATTACAATGCAAACTTGAACAACGGTCAACTTAATATTACTCACTCCTTTCAAAATACTTAACTGTCCTTTTTTATTATTTATTTTTATTTTAAATTTGTTTCAAATTATTTTGTATTTTTTTAGAGAAGATAATTATTTTTTTCATTTTAAAATTATCATTATTCATTTGTTTTAATTAATCATTTCATCACAAAAAATTACTTTTTATCTTTTATCACTTTTAAGAGTAATTTTAGTAAATATGTAAATTATTCATAAATTCATAATTTAGAGAAAAATTAAAAAATGACAATTATTTTTAAAAAGAGGGATTGAGTACATTTGAGTTAGAAATTTCACTATGTCAAGAATGTGAAATTTCATATATCTTTTGTGAGAAGATTTATTTGATACTTATAGACAAATAATTTTTAAGTTATATGAGATTAGTCATTAGGTTAAAATTTGGTCTAAATAGAAAAATTCACTTTAAACACACATCATAACTTGCGTATGCCATTAATTAGCACATTTGTTCTTGTTCTCTTCTAGAGAACTTTTAGAGGGACAAGAATTAATTAATTAATAAAACAAAGATGCAAAAGTAAGACAAGCAAGCACCCAACAGGGGATCGATATTGAATTGAGGCCAAATGCAAGTTGCGGAGATGAATTTAATATACAAAGTGTTTGACCATCTCTATCTTGTTAGATAGATGGTGGATGAAATTCTACACCTGATTTTCTATGACTTTGAAACAACTTAATATATGTTTTCCCGCAGCCTAATGGAGTCTCTTCGGCCCTACTAATAGCGCTTTTGACAAATTACACTAATTTTTGTGGAAGAAAGATGCAGAGGAGGGTTGACTTTTTAGTTGGAAGTAGAAAGGACACCTGTCATTGCATACTACGTGGACAAGTTTTTGTGGTTTCTTCGGAAATAGGTGCCAGCATGGAAAGAAGAGGAATAAATTTATTAAAAGGAGTACAGACGCCATATAAGGAGGATTGACATTTTAGTTGGAAGTAGAATGGACACCTAGTGTTGCTTGCTACATGTTGAGGGATGAATTTGCACTGCTTTAAAATTAATGGCATGTACGGCTCCACATCAATAAGGACACACGTGATCTATTCTTCTACCATCAGCCATGTTATTTTCCATTGAAAATTGCAAGGAAGTTAGCTTCGCCAGAAGCGGTACTCAGTGTTATTCTCTCATGCATCATTAAGAACAGCATTTGCCTGCTTTGCTGGATATGGCGTAGATATATCTTGCCTTAATAGCATTTTCCTGTACATGGCCAGACATGGCTACGCTATCCTTGCAATATGGTTGGATACTTTTGACAACCATGAATTCTACTGCTATGCTCACTGCCACAACTGGCTCCCAACAATGGATGAAGAGCCTATCTTACTATAAACACATGGTTGGACACTTCTCAACAGTCATGGTCTCCTGCAACGATGTTCAACACCACACCCTTTGGCTTCTAGCAATGGATAAAGAGCCTACTTCGCTACATATACATGGCTCCCATCAATGGACAATGGGCTACATCCACATAGCTTCCAATGATGGACAAAAGGCCAAATTTACTATCTCATTAGCCTTTAGCAATGGGCAAAAGGCTACCCACCTCTACATATCTTATCTCACTGGCTCTTGAAAATAGACAAAGAGTCAGCGTAACTCAGTACGATTAGCATGAGGCAGGTAACAGTTGCAACCCCATGATCGGATAGGATGACTACCCTCCAGCTATAAAAATCCATCAAGTAGCAGCCGACGGTCCCTTGGTGGTCACCCGTGCATGGTGGTGCGGTGCTCGGCGAGTAGCAACAACCAGGACCACCCTCTAACGGCGTGGGTAAAGCAAAATGGGCTAGTGTTTATAAGTGGTATCCCACCTTGTTGTATCGGAAGCCATGGATGCGGTTGGCATCCCCCCATTCATGGAGACAACTCCACTTATCTTTATCACATCTCCATCGCTATAGCGGAATCTAGCTTGATGAGATTTACCCCTCCACGACGTAGCAATTAGCGAGAATGCTTTTCCGATTTCACATAGTTCACACTCCAACCATGAACAAAGCTAGCCACTGTTGTTTCTCTAGCTATGGGAAAGCTATTCATGGTTGACCTTGTGATGCTTATATAACACGGCCAATGGTCATGCACATGATCGTTCTTCTATACAAAGGAACAAAATTACTGGTCGTCAGTAATCTTGGCTCATAACATACTTCTTCTACATTTCATGTGTTAGTAGGTATCGCCGACCAACAATACTTGGCTCGGAACAACGATATCACAACACACATTAATATTGCTCACTCTCTTTATATTGGCGCAATGCCAGTCATGTACAGCCATAGTGTATAAATACCCACTATGGTCATGGGACAAAAAGAGTACAACCATGATTATCTTCATCATCTCCTTTAATGCACAAAGGAGTATCTTTCTTCACTACACACATTTATGCATTTTACACTTGAACATCCAAATGAGTGCTTATCAATACTATATCTTTTTTATAAGTCGGCATGAACCCATGAATCCAAGCTCATGGGAAATATTTGGGATAAACCCTAGGAGCAGTAGCTTGGTAGGCATGGATGGGTGGGCGTTGCCCATTTGGCAAAGCAAGGTACTCGTGCCAATGAAGCTTGGCGTTGGCGATGTTGCCCAACTTTGCTAGGAAGGGCTAGGTGGCAAAGATGAGAGAGTTGACCTGATTCTTGAAATAGTACCTTCTGATGCTAACCAAGAACTTGAAATCCCGCGGAAAATCAACCAGAAGATGCTATTTTAGTCTCCGTCAAACGTTAGCCACCATATTCAATGCAAAGCCGACTACACAAATTACGATTGCGTTGGAAAAGGCCGAGAAAGATTACAGTTGCTTAAGGATCTTCCAATAATTTTGCACAGACCTTGGAAAATTTACCAAGATCTTGCACAGATGTTGTTTTGCCGGTTGCACTTAAGTAGTTGTCAAGAAAAAGGAATTTCGTATGGTTGGATAATTACCAAAAATGGGCAATATTCAGCAGATTAAAAGAACTTCGTTGAGACCAGTGATGCATTGCCAGGACTAACAGTGCTTCACCAGAACCATCAGGCAATTCATAATATCACTATTAGAAAAACTACTAACAATACCCAGAACCACTTAAAGCTTGACAACTCACCTAAACCTATTCATTAGGTCACTGTACACTCTTGACCTGTCACCCAAAAATTACAAAAATGCCACTATACATATATATATATATTTTT